CCTTTAAAGTCTAAAAAAAACTAACTTTATTACCCACCCTAATTCATGGTTTTGTGGTTTTCAATTTCAGTGGTCTTTAACACATGTCTATAAATTTTTATTACCCTTGCTTAAAACCAAATATTAACACCTTATGCACGAGGTAACAGACTTTCACAATGACAGACGTTTCAAAAAACAACACTCAAAAGTCGAAAAGTATATGAAGCATTTATTTTACGTGACAAGACAGTAGTTTCAATAATTTGAAAGTTCTTTTACCACTCATGCTATTATTTTTTTTATTTTTTTTACTGCTTACTTTATAATTTTTGAAGGAATTTGCTTCCACATGTCAGAAGTAATGAACATCTTTCTGGTTGTAGTTTAAGGTGTCTTCTCATTGAGTGTACAATTTCAAGAATATTGATAAAGATTGGTCACTTTGATTTTGCGAAACAAAGTAACATGTAAAATTCAGTTTTGAAAAAAAAAATCATATTTTGCATTTTTGGCTGTTCAAAGCAAAATACTGTTTTAACTTGCTTTAAAAAAAATTCAATAAATAAAAGAACATACAAATTACATATTTAGAAAGCCATACAAATATTTTTAAGATTGGACCAGAAATACACTATTTGTGAATTGAACGGACTAAGTTGCAAATTTATCAATCTCAAACGAAATCAGATATCAACTGTAAATGCTATCATTACACAAGAAAATGAATGGCTTCCTTAGAAAGCAAAAAATGCTAATTTAAAAACTGAATTGAAAACTGCAGTATCAAGGAAAATAACGAAACCAATCCTGAAACAAATTGCCAAACTGACCAACTCTATTTGTTATATTCACTTATCTGCAAATACCCTTGGAAAAGGTATGAATCCATCACTTCTTCCCTTCATCAGCTATAGACAAATAGCAGGACAAACTAAGTCCTATAGTCTTGAGTGGCAGCTGGACTATGAGGACAACTAATTCAAAACCTGAAGAGGGTAATTTGGGGACTTTTTGATATACTATGCATAACAGTTCTCTGTATTCAGCTCTTCCAAAAAGTGTGGTTGCTTCTATACAAGCCTTGACCACATATGCATGGGTATTACTGACTGTTCAGTTCTAAGAACTGAGTTACTGTACCTTCATATGTCAAAAATGACAGGTGAGTCTAGCAGTTTTTTGAACAGAAGTTTATCCCTTGTTTCTTGTTTAGGATTGGGTTTCTGGTACCTTCTAAAGTTTTCTCATTCTCTTTTACTCCTAGTAGACCATTGTGCTTTAGTGGTATTATTGCTTTGCTTGGGGTAAATTGATTTTCGAAAGAAAATATAAAAAAACCTTCCTCATAATCAAACGTGAAGATGGAAGTATCATTGGTTTGGTGATGTTTTCTCTGTCAATGATACACAGGCACATTACTTCATTATAAATGAAGCAAAGCTTGTTTTGGAAGCTAATTCTTAAGTGTAACAGTTGTATCTTTTAATAAGATGATCTCTGCCATTTCGTCTCTTCTTCATCTATAAGGAGATTGTCCAGAATTCACTACTATGTAGGAGATATTACATAGTAGTTCAGCACTCTTTGTTTCTAAGGACATTTTTACCTGTCTCTTAATACTTTGCTTAGTTTCTGAAAGTCACCTTTCACTGCTTTGATGAATAATGAAACAAAAACAGGCTTGAACATTCATGTGTACAGACAACTGGTACTGATTGGCTGATCTGATAGAAGATTTTAAATAAGCTTTATGGAATTATAAACACTTTAGAGTGAAGACTTTTAGTGTTTCTTACTAAAGATAACTGTGAAGAACTCATTGTTTTAGTTTTTCTCCTTCAAACAGGATGAACATTTTTCAAGGTCTGGTGAACAAGCTTTGCAAGGAAGAAAAGTATCTACAGAAATAATTGTTGCTGTACAAGTTTTTAGAAAGAAAATGTATTTGGTGGGAGTGTGCTATTATGTAATGTTATAGAGTATGACATTTAGTGGAGTATATTAAGAAAAAGTGGAAATTCATTGTGTTAAAGAATTGATTCACTTGAGGCAACTCCAAAAATGATATTTTTGTTTTGTATTTCATTACAGTTGTGGTATTTGCATGATTTTCTTTGTGGGCGTGAACTCTAGGCATTTAATTAATTTGCCCTTTTTATATAAAATCAGTCCTGGTTCTATGATAAATATGTAGGGGGTAATTTAAAAAAGGATATTTATTTATTCACTCATTGCAAATGTGTATTTGGAAAATGTTTAAAAGGTAAAAAATAGGTCAAATTAAGGAATAAGAATAGAAAAATGGTAAAACTACTATAGTTATTACAAATTAAACTCAGTAATTGGGACATCTTTTAATGATAGCTAAAGTTAACTTCTAAAGAAATGGTCAGAGATTTAATAACAGATAATCTTTATTTCAATATATTAAAAATTAAATTTTCATACACAAAGTTGAATTAAACTGATATCTATCATTGTTATTATTTTGGAATTCCAGAAATTATTTTTCTCAAAATTGATTCAGCTGTTTTGAAATGTCAGCATTAATTAAAATTTTAACATTGCAGTATTTTTTTTTTTTTTTTACATTTATCTCAAATCTTATTTTTTAGCATAAATACAGACCTACTCCTTCATATAATTGTATGATTTTAATTATATTCAGCCATCACAATTGAAAAAAAACCCTACTTTTTTTTAATTATTTCAAAATATGAATGTTTATGATTAACAAAAGCAGCACCGCTAACCTTCACTGGATGTCAGTTAACTTTGCATTGTACAAAACAAAATTCTTTTACAAAAATTTGTTGAAAGTGGAAATGTTTAAGGCCAATATAATTTATCAATATATTTTGTATTCTCTTTTTAAAAATTATGAGTGTAGTTTTTCCTTGCTTCAAAATAACTTTCAAGATTACTAATTTGTCATCTTCACAGCTCATTAATTAAAATACAAATAAAATAGCAAGAATCATAAATAAGTGTTAGTTTGTTGAGTTCCAGTTTTTGCAAATCATTCTTCTTTGTTAATCTCTTTAAGATCAAAGTGTTTTTTTATTTAAATAAAAATAGAAAATAATTTCTTTTGAATCTTAAAAATTCTCTTTAATGCAATACAAGAATAATTCTCAAAGTTAATTTCAAATTCTTAAAATGGTAAAATCTAAGAGAAATTACCTTCTAACAGTAACTCTTGGTAAGTTCATTGAATGGTAATGTCTGATAAGAATACAAGACAAAATCTTTCATAAGTAAAATAATTTTGTCTGAATTTTTTGGATGAGGATTTATCATTATTTACACTGTTTATATTAGGACTATTGTCCTCATTTTTGTTGTTATCATTATCACAACATTTTGGTTGTTGTGACTTCCAGCCTTTCTTAGGTGTATATCAATCTGGGTAACCTATAGGTAATTCTGAATTGAACCCGTTATTTAATTTATTTAAGTTGGTTTGTGAATTTGGTGACATAATGGCTGTGAGTTCAATTGCTGGGTTGGGCAGTGTGTACTTGCATTCAGTGGAAATGGGCAAGCATAACTGAACTATACTAAATAAAAATAAGAACTAGATGATATCCCTAGACATGAGCAGTGAAATGAGAACTGTCTACCCCTGTAGATTAAATAAAGGGTTAAGTTCTGAATTCCCTGTAGGTTACCCAGATAATAATAACTTTTGGAGAATCTACATATCATTAAAAAAAATGGCTATATAATTCCAAACCACCACAAAAGCAAATACAGGGTATGATTGGTAAATTGTTGTCATTTTATATTTTTAATTTTGTGCATATGTGTTGTTTGTACTTGATTTTGTCAACTGCACATTATAGGAGGGTCAGTTGCGTACCATCAGTGAGAAAAAGAGAACCATGACACAATTCACTCCATCAGAAATTTAGAAACGACATGCTGTACTGCTTGGCATTCATGCTAGAATCTCCGATACAAACATTTCAGAGTGTTTGTCTCAATCTGAGTACTGTGCAGAGGATTCAAAAAGAGTTGGATAAGTCTAATGATGATTACGAAGAGGTTTGGAGTGATCACTAGTGATGGCAATGTAAAGCCTTCATACATCTTCCCACAGGGCCTTAGACTCAATACTGAGGCCTAAATCAAGTGCCTTGAGGTAGTACTGCTCTGGGTCAAGAGGGTGGCTGCTGGAAGACCCTATGTCTGGCTACAGGACTCTGCATCATGCCATACAAGCAGGAGGACCCAGTCACAGCTGTCAAACAATTTCCGTGACCACATCTCGGTCCCACCCTTTTACTGTTGAAACAGTTAAACCTAACTGCCTCTTCTACTCCAACTGCTTCTTCTCTTGCACGTCCTTACAGAGGAACTCCCTTCCTCTTACTTGCTTCCCTGATAACTATAATCTTCAAAAATTTAAATGTAATGTCAATCAACATCTGATGTCTTGATCTTGATCCCCGTCCTTCTCTTTATCCTTTCCTCAAACACCCCTCTTTTCACTTACTTTTACTTTCTGTAACCCCTTGTGTGCTAGTGGCACTCCCACCTTGCTTGAGATGAAATGCTTAAGAAAAAAATAAAACATCACCCCTTACATCTGGCCACCTAACTCCCTAGACTGCAACCATTTTGATTATTATGTATGAGGCACAGTTAAACGAGAGACAAACAAAACTCCTTGTAACACCAAGGATGAGCTGAAGACAAGAATTATGGCAGCATTTACCAACTTAAACAAGGGGAATGTCCAGTAGAGTGGCAAGAGATACCAAAGTCGTCTAGAGGCCAAGGTTGAAGCCAATGGTGATTTTATTGAATAAATTTACTCCAAAGTATTTCAAGATGTTTTTGTGTAATTTTAGTAAATATATCTGTTAAAATGAGATGTCAATGTTATTTTCATTTTTGCATAATTTAGATGACAATTTATCCATCGCACACTGTAGACAATGAATGATAGAATATCACTTATAAGAAAAATATCTTGGTAAAACTGGAATCAGACAGTTTTGTTTCTCTTTTAGTGTATCTGATTTGTGACTGTGCCCAATGCCTGTTCCTGTTATTCCGGCCATTCCTCAAAGAACAGTGTGTAAATGGCACAGCAAGGGCATATTTGTCTATGCCCGAAATTCCTCACACTGGTTGTATCGCTGGCAGAAGAAAACCAACCTCCGTTCCAAAGTACAGAAACTTGGTAAGTAGTATGTTGTTAATTTAACCTATAGTTGGTCAGAACTCCATTGACAAAGCCTTTCCAAACTGTTCTGTCATGCATTGCTGTCCCCAGATCTCCAATGTCCAACCCTGAGTCATGAGCTATTGTGTCTTGGAAAGTCATTTTTCGTGAGAAGATACTTCCAGAAGGATGCCATAGGTGTAAGGACCAGATGATTTCCCTGTCTGCTCAGTGGCAGTGGCCAGCAAACTAATCATTTTTGTTTGAGCTTAAGAGAGATTGGTCTCAGTTCTCTATAAATTGTGTTAAGCACTGCATAGGACCTCCAAATGATGTTCTGGATTTTTCTAAGTAGATTTGTATATATTCCATCCAGTCATCTCTCAAGACGAGCAGATAATGTCCAAGTTTCTGATCCATACAGTAGGACTGGTTCAATCGATGTTTGAAAGGATTGGGCTTTTAAGGAGGATGGAATGTTAGAGCGCTAAATCTTGTGATGTTTGTTACATGTATCCCATGCAAGAGCTTAGTGGATGTTAACCCTTAAGTGGCAGAAATCATCAATTGATGTTTTGCTGAAAATCTGCAGATATCTTAACTGATTATTTAGAATTTTTCCAGCAATACATTCACACAGGATTCAAGTTTAAATGACTAAGTGGCAACTCTAGGATTCATTTGCTTACAGCATTTCCTGGAATATTTGCTTGCAAATAAATTTGGAAAAACATATCAAAGACACTTCTATATCTGCATGCATATTTCCCAAAGAGAAATGATACAAAAAATCATGACTACTTGGAGCAAATAATGTAAACTCCATTTTGCATTGTATGCTCCAAAGTGTATCATACTCTTAAAAAAATTAAATTCAGGAACCTAAAAAAAAATTAATTTCTCTTTTTTCGTAATTTTTATTATCTAAAAGAGTTAAAATATCATTTTAATAATTTTTGCATATAATTAAAACAAAAATAAGAATAAAAACTTCCCTTAAAAATGTATTTTTTTGTTTTCTATCCATTTGATGTGCATGCTTGTAAATTTTTTTCTGTCAAAGAGCCAATCCAATGATACTTTAGAATAATTTTACTCAATTCAGTTTTTTTTTTTTAGATGTTCATAGTGATAGCTTGTGATGCAACGCATCAAATGGAACTATGCTGAAGTATATGTGTGGACTCATTCTGCCTTTAGTGATTTTAAAGTCAGATCTGTTTTGTTTTTTTTTTTATAGTCCTTCCAAGCTAAAAACATGAGTGACTTATCTTTAATACAAATGAAGCAAAAGGCTTTGAGCCTGATATTTTAATCTGAAAAGCTTGTTTATTGTAAATCTGCTACTCCATTTTCTTAATTGAATTCTAAGTAGAGAATTGAAACTATCTTTTTATTAAGAACTTTTGTCAAATATTAATAGGTGAAACTATAGAAGTACTAACCTGATTGACTTAGATCTGATTTTATTTTAACATTATATCAAAAGCTTATTTTTGATTAGTTTCTGATAAAATGCAAATTAAACTGCTTCTGTTCATTTATATAAGCAGATTACAAAACAAAAACAATTTTTGTTTGATTTTTTTTTTTTTTTTTTTTTTTCCTTTTCTCAAAATATTTGGTTTGCCAAAAAGTCCATTTCAATTAAACTCAGTGATATAATTACTGTTCTGTTCTAGTATTTTCTGCCATTTTGTGGACAGATCCATTATTCTTTGCTCAAAGAATTTCCTGTCTACTGGTGAAAAACTCTTCAAGGTGAATTTTTACATCCTCTTTAGAGTTGAAGGACTACCCACTGAATGAATTTTGAAGAGACCAAAATAGTCAGAAATCTGAAGATGAAAGGTCAGGCAAATATGTAGGGTGTGGCAAAACACTCCAGCCAAGCTCCATTAACTTCTATGATATATGCAAAGAAGTGTTTGTTTTGGCATTGTCATGATGAAAGACAATGCCCCTCCGATTAGCATGTGCTAGAAGCTCCTGGTGCATTTAATTTGCTAGTTGGTCACAGTACACATCTGAATTGATGGTCCTATCCATGGGAAAAAACTTGTAAAAGACAACACCTTTTGAATCCCATTAAATTGAAAGCACAACTTTCTTAGGGTGAAGTGCTACTTTGGAGGTTATTTGTGATGGTTCCAGTGCTCTTTCCCTGTGACCGTTGACACTTAACATTGTTATAGACAATTCAATTTTTGTTCCGTCACCATTCTCTTTGAAAAAGCATCATTTTCTTCAAGTTTCTGTAATGAATTGCAGATGAAAATCCATTGGGCAAGGTTAGCCCTCCTTCACTTGGGTATTGGGCATGTTAACATAACCAAGTTGATACAGATGATTTTCAACACTTGATTTGGATATTTGAAGAATATCTTTGATCATTGTGGTTATATAACAAGAGTTGGTGTCTACTAACTCCATTTTGTTGCTGTTAATCACAATTGGCCAGCTAGAATGAGGTGCATCTTGAACCAAAACATTTCTCAATTGAAATCTTCTGGTATATGTTCTATAACATTATCCTCTTCCTACAAAGTGCATATTTCCTGCAGATTTCTACCACTTTCTTGCCTTTTTTTTTTAATAAAAAAGCATAAGGTCTTGTTAATGTTCATTTTTGTTCTCCATTTTCAGTGTGATCCCAAGCTCACAAAATACAAACTGTCTTGTTGCATGTTTGTGCCGAACTATATTGAAGTGTCACGTATTGAATGAGTGCACATCCACAAGGGACAGACTGGAGTTAGCTACTTATTAGTGCTTTAAGTTTAATATCAACAAAAACCAAACATTCTTTTTGACCAACCCAATACTAATTTATTTAAAATGTTTTTTATTTAACTGAAGCATTGTCTGACCAACACATTTCAATAGTTGACAATCTTCCAGTAAAAAATGTTTTCCAAGTTCAGATAATGCTACATTTATATTTTTAAGTGATCATTAATTCAACTATTGTCTAGAATAGATTAGCTTTGAAAAAATCTAAATCTGTAAGTTATCAAAAATATGATGTATTTTAGTATTTATTTATAATGTTTTTAAAAGAAAAATTACTTTATTTTCTTCCAGGTATTGTGATAGGTTCTGTGTTTCTATGGTAAGTAGCCAATACATTTATTTATTTTTGCAACTGGCACAATGCTATCAGTATATTTGAATTGCTTATGTATGGAGGTTTTGCTTCAGTACCCAGTACCTTGGTCTCGTGATGTTTTCATAGTCCATGGTAGTAGTTGCAGTTGTCTAAGAAGGTCATTTCTGCTTATACATAATTGAAATTCATACTGCTCTCACTCAGCAGTGCTTGACTGTTGCTGTTAGAACCTGAACTTGGAGGTTAGTAATAAAGAACAAATGCATGCAAAATGAAATGTATTTATTTCAGGCCTCTATACATAGTCAAGATGAAGTTAGTTTTGTTCATCTTCCAAAAAGTGGATACAAAACCATAGCCCATTTCACTAACATGTGTGCTGTTTATCTCCTCAGCAGTTTCTGCTGGTACTGACTAACTAACTAACCAGCTAAAAGGGGCTTTATTTGTTTGTTTTTCTTAGCTTTATATTGAAATCCAGATATGTGTAGTTTTGTATCTAGTATATAAAACTCAGGATGTATGTGAAGTGGGAATGACATGTCATTTTTAAATTCCTGTTGTGGCCATTGTGTTTACTTTTGCTCAAATACCCATGAAAGAGTATGAATCTGTGTCTTCTTCTCTCAGATAGAGATTAATAGCAAAGCAGAGAGGGCATTGGTTGGCAGCCAGTTTAGGAGAAGAATGACTCTAAATACAAAACTTGTTGGGTATGGGGATAGTAAGACTAACCCATAAAAAACCTACTTTCTCTGGAAACCATGGCAGTATCACTTGGTGTAATGAGGCTATGACACTATGCTCTACAGGAATAACATGCGTACATATGAGACTCAACAACTTGAACTTGTGAACTATGAAATCTTAGACTCAGTGGTAAAAATAATTAAGAAAAGAAAAAGATTATTTCTCAATGTGAAGCTCTTTATAGATAATATTGGGGAGAAACATTTTTTGCATTTATTATTGCCTTAGTTTTAATTATAATTTTAATAATTAACTTTCTTTGAAATAATCTAATAATAATTAAGTATAAACCAATTGTTATGACTTTTTTCCCCTCTTTGTCTTAGATTCTTTAAAAAAAATATTGTAATAAAAAAATAATAATATTGCTTACTGCTGATGTTCAAGAATCTGTAATATTATTGTTTGTTTGTACATACTACATTTTCTGAGTATAAAGTTTTTTGGGTTTTTTTTTATCATTTCATCCCAAAGAAAGTCAATAAAGCCACTAAGATGTAATGGGGTTACTGAGTGTGAAAGAATATGAGAAAAAAATATTAAGGAGAGAGAACAGAAAAAGAACAGGAATTCAGAAGATAGAAGATAACGATTTGACGTTGTATTTAAATTATTGAAGATCAAAGTTGACTGTGAAGCAAGAAGCTAGAAGTGAGTTTCGCAAGAAAAGAAGCTGTTAGACTAGAACTTACGGTTATATCTAGCCATTTTAACTGTAAAATGATGAAACCTAGCTACCAATCTAGTACTGCTTTAGCTTGGGCACTAAAATCTAATCACAGGAATCTTGCTGTGATTGAACCCTCTGAACTTTTGAATATAGGAAAAAAATTAAATTGAAAATACTAAACTAATTTTTTTTCTTTTTCTTCTTCATCTAATAGTTACTTTCACTATTATTAGGGTATTAAATTCATGGAAGAAAAATAAAAAAACAAAAAAACATTTTTTGAGAGATGGGAACAGTTAAGAAAATTGTCTTTACATTGTCAGTTTGAACTTCTCTTTTATAAACTTAATTCCCCATTCACGGTATATAAAAATAATAATATTTATTGGTTCCAATCTGGTTAGGAATGACTGCAAAAAACATCCCCCTCCCCAAATTTATAGACAAATTACAGTGAATGCATGCTGGGATTTCTTCCTAGCCAATCATTTCTCAGTCTCATCCACCATATTTCTGTTCTTTCTTGCCTTGAACTCAGAATGTTGTGATAATTTGTCTGTATTCCTTTTGTGTGTTAACACCATTTTTAGTTTGTGAACTTTTGGTTTTATTGCTGTTGCTTTGCCTACTTTTGTTTTGCACATATTATTTGCTTAGATTTATTTTTGCCCTATTCTTTTCTTTTGTTATTGTTTATTGTAAACTTTGTCAATTCTGTTTGTTGGGCATTTCTGCCAATTACATTTTACCATGGCCAATTACTACAATATTGCATTTTATTTTCATTGTTTTTAATGACTTTAATATTATTTAAAAAATTACAAACATTGAAAGAATCCTTAATATTTCCAAGTGAATTTCATCCAATACTCAAGTAGTGGTAGATTTGTAGCCTCGTGGATATATGATTTGGATACTTATCTGCAAGTTGGAGATTTGAATACTCCTGGAATTTCCATAGGTTCAGCACTTCATGTTTTGTCATATTCCCACTCTGATCAGTTTTATCCTGTTCTATTTACAGTTAAATCTGCCAGCATACAATGTAATTTAGAATTAATACAAATATAAAGTTTCTCACTTAGCTGATTGGTGTTGCCCTCAGATCTTGATTTTGTAGATGAACACTCCAGCAATCACTCCATCCACTCATCAAGATATCAGCAATTGACTGTTTATATTTCTTGTTTTTCTTTTATATATATGCACTTTTCATTGGTGCATGATAGTTTTTTTTCCTTTCATTGTGTGTGTGTGTGTAAATTGTTGTGATTATTTCTCCTTTTTGCTGTTTTTCTTGTCACTTTATACTCTCTCCTTATTGATTTTTTTTTTTTTTTTAATACTTTTTCTCTTTCTTTCAGTTGTAGCAATTTTGACATCCAGTTTTTCAGACATTCACTGTTCTTGTTAATTCTTGAGAATTCTAGTGCTTTCTTGAGTTTGGAAAATTGTATTTCATTTTTTACATAAATAATTTTTTTTATATTAATGCTTAAATATTTATATATGTTTCATTTGGCCATTATTTTGTTTTGTTTTATTTGATTTTTTTTCTCCTTTCAGTGGTTCTGGTGTCTATCTGCAGGTTATGCTATTAAATGAGAATTTACCCTCCTTCAATAATATATCCAACATGGACAGAGAAAGTGCCACTAAACATTGGCATCCTTCTATACGTTTAGGTAGGTGATATCTACAATTATTGAATCATAAACATATAGGATTAGGCAAATGAATGACAAAGTAGAAAAAACTGTGTAATACATTTCATCCTCTAGAAGGACTTCATCAGACTAAAGCAGTGATTCCCGACCTTTTTTATGCCCTGCATCACTAAAATTTGCACTCCTTAAAGTTATAATTTATTTAAGAATAAAGGTGAATGTGACCAGAACAAATTTGCATTATCAATTTTTAATAATATATAAACAAAAATGAAATGTATGGAAAAGAAAAAATATTACAACAAATTAAAAGTTGCATAAACACTATAAAAAAATTAAATTTTCATCCATGCATGAAATCTTTTTAAAAAAATTAAAGAACGAATGTTCATAATCCAATTTAAATTTAATGACTCTTTTGTTCCTGTTCATTGCTCAAGAGTTTTTCAAAATGTGACACTTTGTTGCTGATAGCAGTCCGCATGTCTGCCTGTGCACTGAAGCAATTTCTAGATTTTGTCTTGATTGACAAAAGGGCACTAAATCCAGACTTGCATAAGTATGTTGTCACGAATGGGATGAGCACAGTTAGCACTTTTTTACAAAGTCTTGGAAACATGTTCATTGCTGAATACTAATATCGTTCCAAAGTTTTGCTTTCAAAATGAATTTCAAGAACACTATTTGTGCACAGTTCAATAAGATCTTCCTTCAACTCTTCATGGGATGAGCACAGTTAGCACTTTTTTACAAAGTCTTGGAAACATGTTCATTGCTGAATACTAATATCGTTCCAAAGTTTTGCTTTCAAAATGAATTTCAAGAACACTATTTGTGCACAGTTCAATAAGATCTTCCTTCAACTCTTCATTCAACATATCCACATTGAAGGAGTATGGATTTATAATCTATTCTTCAGAAATTTCCTGTTCTTTTCCTCCAAAATATACATCAAATGACTTTCATAGTATTTCCAAATGATCCACAATTTCTTCACACTTGGAATTAGGGACTCATTGTCATTAGCCATTTCTTCAAGTGATGGAAAATTTGAAAGATTCCCGCTTTTAACTTGACACCAAAGATGTACCTTTTCTTTGAAATCATTTAACTTTTAGCAGCATTTCAATATGTTTGTTTTTCCCTTGAATAGATACACTTGGATCCTTCATATGAATGAAAATATCACTCAAATAGACTAGCATTAAGTTGAATTCTTGTGATTCCGTTTCTCCAGTCAAATTCCTTCAGAAAAGCTTTCATTTCTGGCAGATTGAAGAGCATTAAATCTCTCCCACCTGACAGCCAGTGGACTTCCATGTGGAAAACCAAAACTAAATGCTCACTTTCAAAATCTTCACAAAACAACTTAAAGAGGTGGTGGTTCAGAGCACAACCCCTAATCCAGTTGATGGTCTTTACAGAAGGTCAAGGAGGCAATGTTTTTGATGCCAAAACATGTCGATGAAGAAAACAGTGGATAACTTGCAAGTGCAGAATCTCTTGTTTCATCATATCTGAACATACATATAGTGTCTATATGTACACATATAGGGTTATATACCACATCTGAAATTAGAAATACAGTAGAAATATTGAGTTGGATTTTTCAATGATTGGTGTTTGAACATATTTCATTTTACACATAACTGAAATTTATGACATATATGCATTTTATGGAAGGCGATTTTTCTGTGTGTCTTTCTATGTGATCTGTGCATGGATTGTAGATTTTAAATATTTTATGTTAAAACCAGATTCAAGAGTTTGTAAAAAAAAAAAAAAATAAATAAATAAAAATTAAACATCAAAATTGGCAGAATTTTACTTTATAGGTATTGAAGAGATGCCAGATAAGAGTCAACAAATTATTGCAAATAATGGTGAATATATAATTAAATAAAATCTAATTTTATTCTATTATTTTGAAGAAAAAAGTTGTTAAACAAAAACAGAAATTATTTATGACTTAGCCTAACAGTGAAATACGGTTTTCTGTTTTAGTTAACTCGGTATTACAAGAACCATAATAAGTAGATTAGATTTCTTTTTGTTTTTTGTTTTTTTGTTACCTCCAAGAATTTATTTTGATTTTTTTTTTTTTTTTTTTTTTTTCTAGGTTACAGATAAAATCTTTGATGGGGATAAATTAATCCTTTATGCAGTTTGCATCTCTTGGAACAAAATTTAGACTTAAAGATTTGATTCCTTTATAAATTTATCTGGGTCTTTCAAAACACTATCAACGTTACTGTTTAAATAAAGCTTTTTTTCATACATCTTAGAATAACTTCAACAAGTAAATGAATGTCAATTAGCTTAAAAGATTGCACTGTAATCAACTTGGTTTAACCATTTCTAATATGTCTATATCCTTGTTGTATTGATATAGCATCTGCATTAAATCTCATTAAATTAACTACTTATTTTGTCAGTTTGTAATAACCTGATTAACTGGGATATTTTACTGTGATTTTGTGATTTCTTTTTTTTTCTTTTTTTTTTTTAATTGCCAACATGTCGTGTCAGAAACCTACCACCCCTCTTGAAGATGAACTTGTCTGCGTCTGTGAACAAAGACTTTAAATAGTGGCATGTCAGTTGACATGGCAGAAGACAGACAGAGAAGTTCTTAGCTGAGCTAGTTATTGACTACTCAGGCGATTTCTGTACCTTTTTACCAACCTATTAAAACCCTTTTTATTGTTACGTGTTATTTGGCGTTTGTCTCTACTAACCCCAAATCAACATCATAACAGTGGCGACGAGAGATTCGTTCATCACGCTGGGTGGAGAATTTTTCAACTCTAGGTGGACTATATAAATTTTTTTTTTTTTTTTCTCGCTCTGAAAAAAAAAAAAATACCTCGAACTTTGTTCTTCACGAAGAAATGGGATTTCAACGTGCCAAAAAGAAGTAAGACTTGTGCTTATTGTGGATATATACGTGTTTTTCCCTTTTTGTCTGTTTTCAAAAAGTGTTTTGTGTAATCTATTACGCATAATGGAAGATTTGATTGCATTAACAAAAACTCTAGTGCAAAGTCAAATTCAGCAACAAGAGCAACAAAAATTGTTTCGGGAACAACTATTGGATTTACAAGTTCAGCAGCGAAATGACACAAAGGCTTTATATGAAGCAATTTTACTTAAGAATCCAGTAAATTCGTCATTCACAGCTGAAGATATTGCTAATTCTATTACTGAGTTCAAATTTAACCCAGAGGAGGGCATAACATTTCCTGCGTATTTCAGAAGATTTGAAACAATATTTGAAAAATTTAAGTCAAAAAAGATAATGTGAATATTGTGTTGTGACGTCAGGAGATTGAGGAGGGGCAGAAAAGAAAATTCGTACAGGTAAAAATTAATGGAAAAAATGTTAAACTACAGCTAGATACTGGAAGTGATATTTCCATTATTAATACAGCAACATGGATTAAAATAGGCAGACCTTTGCTTAAAAAAGACTGAAAAAGTGGCTCAAGGATTTCTGGAAGAAAATTGCATTTTCAAGGTGAATTTTCTTGTAATATTTCATTTGTTGGTAAGACACTAAAGTCTAAAGTATATGTGCTACAAAATGCTTCAAATTTGTTTGGAACAGATTGGATTATACTTTTTTATTTATGGGAACTCCCTATAAATTCTTTTTTGCAATAGAATTAATGTTTCTTCTCCATGTAAAAATAGGGTTACAGAAAATTTGGTGAAAGATCTGAAAATAAAATTTCCACAAGTATTTTCAGAAGGTCTTGGATGTTGCAAAAAGACGAAGGCAAAATTTGAAGTGAAGGAAAATGTAAGACCTATTTTCAAGCGAAAAAGAAATGTGCCATTTGGTGTTTTGGAACAGATTAACAAAGAATTGGAACGGCTTGAAAATTTAGGAGTTATTTCACGCATTGAATTTTCAGAGTGGGCCTGCCCTGTTGTATATGTTAAGAAAAAGAATAATAAAATTTGGATGTGTGCTGATTTCTCTATGGGTCTAAATGATTGCTTAAAAGACCACACATATCCTTTGCCTTCACCAGAAGACATTTTTGCAAGTTTAAATGGAGGAAAAATATTCTCTAAATTGGATTTATCGGATGCCTATCTCCAAGTGAAAGTGGACGAAGAATGTTCTAAATTGTTGACTATCAATACACACAAGGGTTTATACAAATTAAACCATCTGCCTTTTGGTTTAAAAGTATTCCCCGTAGTATTTTTGAGCAAATTATGGACACTGTGCTGGCAGGGTTGGACTTCGCCATTGCATATCTTGATGATATTTTGATAAAAAGTAAAGATCGAAATGAACATTTGGAACATATTAATCAGGTTTTTGAAAAAATTGAAGAATATGGATTCAAACTTGGAGCTGAAAAATGTGAATTTTTTATGAGTGAAATTAAGTTTTTGGGGCAGATGGATGGGAGAAGACCAGATCCGGTGAAGGCAGAAGCGATCAAAAGCATGCCAACTCCCAAAAATGTAGTAATGCTACAAGCGTTCTTAGGACTTGCTAACTATTATGGGATATATATTCCTAATTTGTGCAGCCTTATGGCTCCATTAAAAAAATGCTTAAAAATGGAGCAAAGTTGGAATGGTCAGAAGTGTATCATAAGGCGTTTGACAAAATAAAGAATATTTTGATGTCGGAATTATCACTAACATATTATGACCCTAAACAGGAAATTATAGTGGCATCGGACGCAAGCGAGTATGGAATAGATGCGATAATTCTGCATAAATTCAGAGACGGCAATACGAAGCCAGTGGCATATGCATCAAAGACATTATTACCCGCAGAAAAGAAGTACTCTCAAATTGAGAAAGAAAGCTTAGCTGTCATCTATGCTTGTAAAAAAAATTCCATAAGTACATACATGGAAGAAGGTTTATATTGCAGACCGACCATCGCCTGCTGCTTTCAATCTATGGTTTGAAGAAGGGTATACCTACTCATCGGCAAACCATTTGGCAACGATGGGGAAACCATTTTGTTGAATTACAATTTCAAAATGGAATTTTTATCATCTAAAAATTAAGCCATGCTGATGGTTTATCTAGACTGATCCCAACGTCTTGGAACCGCTTAGAAGATACGGTGATAAGCGTCGTTACAAGCAGAAAATGAATTGGTTGAAGTAATGTATAACACAGTAAAAGAGTTACCGGTGACATTAGATGAAATAAAATTAAAAGCAGAAAACGACATTTTTATTAGAAAATGAAAGAAGTTGTAACTTCAGAAAAGTATAAAACTTCTTCACCAGCATATTCAATATGTGATGAAGTGCTGTTATATGCTGGAAGGGTCGTGGATACGGTTGTACTACAAAAAAAAGCGGATTTTGAAGGAATTTCATCAGGGGCATCCTGGTATTGGACGTATGAAAGCCCTGATGAGGAGTTACGTTTATTGGCCAAATATGGACAAAGACATTGAACAGGTAGTTAAAACTTGTAGAGGGTGTCAAATGGCAGCGAAAGCCCCGCTAGTAAAATACATACCATGGCCAAAAACAGATGTTCCATGGACCAGACTCCACATAGATTATGCTGGACCCATGAATGGTAATTTCTACTTGATAGTTGTGGATAGCTATTCCAAGTGGCCTGAAATTTTTAGTGCAAAGACCAACTGCTTCTGTAACAAAAGATTTTCTTACAGAACTGTTTGCACGTTTTGAGTACCAGAAAAAATTGTCACCGACAATGGAACTCAATTCACAGGAAGTGAATTTAAGATGTTTTGTAAGACTCTGGGAATTGACCACATCACGACTTCACCGTACCATCCTAGATCACATGGACAGGCTGAACGGTTTGTTGATACGTTCAAGAGAGCCCTTAAAAAAACAAATGGTACTAATACAGATGATGGTAATATACAGCAGTTTTTAAGTATATACAGAATAACACCAAATCCAAATGCAATATCAGGAATGTCTCCAGCTGAACTGATGTTTGCTAGAAAAATTAGATCTGTATTCAATAGGCTGCTGCGGAAAGAAAAAAAGAGTTACTAGAACAAAATGCATCAGGAAAATATGAAATATCTCAGGCCGGGAGATAAAGTTTTTTTTTAAAATTACAAAATGGGAAGGAATTTTGGCAAGATGGAGTGGTAACTCAAAGAATTGGTAAGATGTTATACATGATAAGAAGTAAAAAATGGACGACAAAAGACATTTGAACCAATTAAGGAAAAGAATCATTGAAGAAATAAGTAAAGAAAATGAAGAACCAATGGAGGTATTATATGATTTATTTGATACACCAACTCCACCATTGCCTGAAACAGTTGTCCAAAGAAGGACAAGCAAAAGAAAAAGAACTAGGGTGGAACGTTTAAGTCCAGATCCCAAAAGAAAAAGATATTAATTCCTCCGGAATTAATCTCAAGGGGGAGGTGTTGTGTCCGAAACCTACCACCCCTCTTGAAGATGAACTTGTCTGCGTCTGTGAACAAAGACTTTAAATAGTGGCATGTCAGTTGACATGGCAGAAGACAGATAGACAGAGAAGTTCTTAGCTGAGCTAGTTATTGACTACTCAGGCGATTTCTGTACCTTTTTACCAACCTATTAAAACCCTTTTTATTGTTACGTGTTATTTGGCGTTTGTCTCTACTAACCCCAAATCAACAACATAACACAACAAAACCTTCAAATTTGTAGGCTTTATTTGTGATTTCTTTTCTTAACTTGCCATATCACTTCAGGATGTATGCAGTCATAATTCTCCACAGCTTCCCTTTCTTTTAATAGCTGTAAACTATGCATTGCTGTTATTCTTGAAGAAAGTGAAGTGATTACCTGTTGTTTTCTTTACAGTTCTAAATTTAGTTTTCCTTCTCCAAGATTGGTTACCTAGCAAGGTTAGAGATCTGTCTGTTATGTGGTTCAACACATAATTGGAGAGAGAAGAGAATATTTGCCTTTCCCACAGTCATTAGCACAAAAAACACAATTCGTCTCAGCTAGAATTTGAACTCTGTTTACCAATTTCATATCGTGTACTGTCAATTTACTGCACATCATTTTCATTCTTGACACTCTTTCCAGTATCAGATTATGACAATTTCAAGACTAATTTTGTTTTTATTGTATAGATGATCTGAATACAGGACCAGTGAGAGCCAAGCCCAGAGGTGACAAATTAGGTAAGTAATTTTATTTGTTTGTTGTAATGACATAAGAAAATAGTATAGCTTTTGCCAGTTTTTTCCTTTGTTTTCTTTTTTTCTTTTGATAAAAAAACTGACCAAAGCTTCACTTACATCTGTTTTAAACTTATTCTTTAAAAAAAAAAAAAAAAAAAGTTGGTGTTATTATTTTGTCTATGTACATTTGTAAATTTATTTGATCTATCATGCAGAAACTTATTGTATAAAAAATTAAATTTTATTTAAATTACTACAACATTATTTTTTTCTTTTTTTTTTACCACCAACTCTATAAAATGTATAATGCTCTAAAATGATAAATTTTGAGACAGTCCTGTGTTAGGGTTTTCTCAAAAACTGGCTTCAAGTTTATCTCAGATTTTTATGCCTACATCAGTTGTGTTCTACTCTTTTTTTATTTTTTATTTACTGTAGAGTTTTCATGTTATGGCTAGTCTTATGGGGTTAACTTTTAGTTTTTGTAGGGTATATCCAATTGAAATCCATCTTTTCTTCATGATCCTCAAGTTTATCTGAAAACTAATTTGTTTGACAAAGGTTGTTACTAATGATGTCTAGCCAATATACCTATAGAATTCTTGCATCATGAATGTTTATGATTAATACTTGTCTCCTCTCTACATTTCTGTAACAAGGTTTTTTTCTTTGTTTACAGAATGGGTGTGCTAACCCCATACCCAACCCTTTCACTTTCATATCTCAGCTTATGACCAGCACTGGTGGAATTACACGAAATTTTGATTCCAGTTTAAATATATAATGTGAAACAAAATTTGTTACAACTACTTCTAAAACAATAAAAAACTTAATGCAAAACAAAATAAAAGTTAAAATTTGAAGGAGAAATTTACTCTATTACCTGTAATAATTGTCACAAGGAATACATATGAGAAACCTAACAGAATTTAAATAAAAGATTATATGAACACAAATAGGATCTTTTACAAAACATGCTTAATGCCTTAGTTTCTCACCATAATGAGTCTGACCATATGTTTGATTTTAAAAAATGCCACTCTAATTAAAAGAGAAATTTACTACAGAAAGTGCTTTAATCCCTAAATTATCCATGGTAAATTTATGTCCAGGTTTTTACAACACAACATTTCACCTTTCTTGGTAGATCTTGTTATCACAATATGGGATATTTAATAACAAAAATGATGGAAACATAAACAAAAAGAAACTAAATGAAATTGGCTTGACCCAAAACATATTTAAAATTTTTGGCATCCCCTCACTTTCATGCACATATGTAGTCACAGCAATGTAAACATCACTCTAGTCCAAAACATTTTCTATTTTATCATATTTTTTTCCTAAAATAGTGTGATTTGTAGAGTTTATTTTGTGTGTTTGAGATGAGAGTAATCATTTCAGAACACTTTAAATTTGTAATTTTAAGTTGTAATTGTTATTAATTTTTTAACTTGTGGTAAAAATAAATAAATGTCATATTCTTAGTATAAAACAAATGGATACTTTGTTTTGTCAACTTCTGTATGTATTATGAAACGACAGTCTTAATTTTTTACTATTAGTAAAGGAAAGTGATTGTTGGATTTGATTTGATAATTGAAAATAAAACTTTTATTTTTTGTTTTCGAATATGTACACCTGACCAGTTGACAAAAGTCCAGCAGTATTTAAATTATTTTTCCCTATTGTATTTTAAGATGTATATATTTTTTCTTTAGTGGCATTTCTGCCTTGGCTGGTATCCCAGAGTGCTGATCACTGGAACTTGCTGCGACTGGCCCAGTCAGAGAGTCGCATTGGTCGTATTATTGGCATTGATAAATTGACCCGGGAGATCTGGCAAGGTATGGATGTTTGCCATTTATCTCTACCTAAAGATTCACAATTTACTATTATTTTTTATAGATTAAGGAAGCAGAATGACAGAGGAATACAAAACAAATCCTGTTAAATTATTTCCATGAAAAGAAAGATTATAATTTTTTTCTGACTATATTCCAACTATAATAACTGCCTCCAGAGTGCTAAAATATTTATTTCAATTTTGAAGGAATTGATTTCAGAAGATCTGGAAATTTTGAATCTTTATTATTGTGAGCTGTCTTCCTCAACAGTATTACAATCTGATAATCTAATAATTATTATAAATATAATAACTCCATTTTGTTAGTAATCATTGACCACCAACAACTTCTTTGCTTTTATTTTTTTAATATATAACATACAGCTTATTGAATGCCAAAATTTGCTAAAATAAATTTTAGGTAAAAAAACTATAAGTTTGTACATGACCTTCACATTTCTTATTGTAATTTTTTTTTTTTTTTTTCCTACTGTGAGAAATGTTTAATACAGAATATAACTGAACCTAAGTGGAGGGGAATAGTGGAGTAACAAATTTGGTGGACTAATAAAAAATGCTGAAAAATATATATATTTATATAAGCAATACAAGAGTAAAGCAATAAATATGTTTTTTTTTTTTTTGTTTTTTTTTTTTTTAAGTATTTCACCCCAAGCAAGACAGGATGCTACTAGCATGCAAGGGTTATCAAGAGTGGGAGTGAAAGTAAAGAGGCGTGATAGAGGAAAGGATGAAGAGAAGGACAGGGAATAGATCAGGGCATCTGGCAATGTTGATTGACATTACATTTGAATAGTTGAAGATTATAGATGGGAGGTGTGAGACATGAAGCTATTGGAGTAGAAGAGATGGTTACATTTAACCGTTTCAACAGTGAAAAGGTGGGGCCGAGATGCCAGCCTAGTAGCACATTTAAATTCATAGTGGGAACTAGCGAAAGTATTTTGTCAGAGCAGTTACTGTGAAAACATTTGTAGAAAAGACAGAGGGAGGTGACATCATGTCTGTGAGAGAGCAAATGCAGACTAGATGCCAGATCAAGGCCAATAACATTGCATATCCATCTCTGGATTTTGTCAAGGATTTGCAAGTTACCATGACAAAGATG